TCTCTCTCTCTCTCTCTCTCTCTCTCTCTCTCTCTCTCTCTCTCTCTCTCTCTCTCTCTCTCTCTCTCTTAGTCTGTAGATGCTTAGAGGTCCGGCAGCGAGAGGGTGAGGGAGAGATGGTGGACTTAGAGGAGGAAGAAGAATAACTCTTTCTCTCTTTCACCCACACGTACACACACACTTATGTGTAGTTTATATTTCCCATGTTGTAGGGATTGATTCATTCGATTCTCTTATTTATTTATTTATTTTGCCCATCCTATCGGGGAAGTAGCATAAGGTCGCTGCGAAGTTCGTGACTTACTTATTTTCTCTCCCGCTTCCCGGTCGTCAACTTCCTTGTCGTCTTTAGTCGTCGTCGCCTGACCGCACACTCAGGTAAGCGCTCTTCTTCCTTTTCTCCTCCTACTCCCCCCTTTCTTCTTTCCTCTTCTCCTCCTTCTTCTTCCTTCTACTCCCCCCTTTCTCCTTTCCTCTTCACGTTTACCTTGTCCCCGATCCGAGGAGACTCACAACCGATACGAGCCGTTGTCAGTGTAGACTCGAAGGCAACACTATTACAAAGCCGCTACACCTCTCCCTAGAAACCTACAGGAGAAGGGTGCCAAAGCTGAGAGTCGTCACCTCTGCCTCTACCGCCTGTAAATGACCGCCAACTGGACCGCCGACCACGATCAGGCGTCAATCATCGCATAAGGGTGAGTGAGAGAGAACGCAGCGATCCACAACCTGGCACCACGACATAGGACGGTCCTGTCAGTCGCGACTACCGCCCGTTCAAAACTCAAGCCCGGGATACCACCATTTCGTCGATCACCCAAGTAAGCATTCTCTTCTTTCTCCTCCTTCGCCCGCTTCTCGTCCCCTCCCTTGCGCGCCCTCCTTCTTCTACACGGTCGTCTTCCTTCTTGCGCTATCTCCCTCTGCGCCCGCTCACTTTTCTTCCTGTTTCTTCCCGATGTCTCCTCTTTGCTCTCCCCTGTGCCGTGCCTCCCGTGCCTTCGCGAGATCGCACCGTAGTCCCGAGCGGCCAGCCTTCCCTTACTCACTTGTTGGGTGGCCGAATCTACCCCAGTTTCAGCGATGAATACATAAACGCGAATCCAGAAAGAAAACTACAAAATTTTCAAAAAAAAATGAGAAAGAAGAAAAAGAAAATGAAATTGAACAAAACTAAAAACAAAATTCTCACTACTAACCACCCCGTCGTGCCAACTGCCACAACGGGGTCTAGTTGTACCACGTTCGAATATCTAGATCACAGGTTCGAGCCCCAGCTATTTAAACATAGGTAAGAGAAAGGGGAGTTCCTCGCAAAAAGGGTTAGCTCGGGGTCAAATGGACTCGATCCCTGAGTCACCTGATTCCCAATCCGCCCTGAAACCCATTAAGCTAGCTCCTACTTCAAAAAGAAGAGGAGTTGCTCCTGTATATATAGAGGAATGGGGCTCGGTCCGCCTAGTGGCCCGAGCCCATTTCTAAATTCGTGCGTACGCGTGTATGCTTTTGCTGGTCAGCGTCTCCGTCTGAGTGCTAGTCGGCTCAAGCATGCGTATGTCCCGTAGGGACACTTGATTGATTGGAATGCCCGAAGGGCCGATACTTACCTACGACCATACCATTAAAGGTTGCAGTGGGGGATCGTCTCAAGTGACAGATAAGCTGGTATCCCACTAAGCAAGGACATAGTAACCTCTTTAATCCCTCGACCTTCCTGGTTGAAGGGTATCCGTATTGATTCTAACCATCACAGCGTGTGTTCATAACAATACACGCGCATAATCTTGAAATCTTCTCACCAAGTTGCCTCGGCCCCAATGGTCGAGGAACTCGTGCACTTCAAAGTTCAGACCCACTTCATCATGGCGGTTGGCACAACTGATATGTAGACTGTAACGCGGTATAAAATTGCTTGCTCCGTCGTTTTCAGCCAGATGTCCTTCGTCATGCGGTCAACCGTCCTCCAACTGGTCACATACTTTACTGCCATCTTCCACTCCCCACCTTGGATGCATGGCTAAAAAATGCCATCATGCCAAATGATATAATGGTCCCACTTGTCCTCACTAGTGCGGGCATGTTTGTCCTCCAAGAAACACAGTGTTTGGGTCCGCACAAAAGTTGGGAGGAATCGGATCGTCCGGCGCCAGCTTCGTTGCCTCATCAGGAATATCAAGCTCATCGTCTTTATTTTCATCCATTGGCATACATTCCATCACTTCCACCATCGAGGCTACACTGTTCGCGGGTGGTGGGTTCGAGCATCCCTCTGATCGACCCGATCCATATTCCTTGTCGTCTCGCTCCATGGCACCGGACTGTCCACGCCACCCGGTCACATTGTTGTCGTTTTCGATATCGAGGTCGGAGTCCGATGAGTCTTCCTCGCTGTCGACGGGGTTAAACCCTTCACCCGATTTAGCGAGCTCTGCATAGTCCTTGAACGTCAGTTGGTCTTTATAAAGATCAAACTTCAGGATCTCGCACCGAGCAACGAATGTCTCAAAGGCGCCAGTCAAAGCACCGTGGCAATGTTTGAGGGTCTCTATCGCCTTAGCTTTCTTATATATCTAATTCTCGTCAAAACGTCCTTGCGGCGCATCGCGGAACAGGTATTCCCACACCTTTAGTCTCTTCGGTCCCAACTTATGGTACATGTCCGTGTTGTTGCGATGTGCGGAATGCGGCTTCTCGAGTCGGCAGTCGAATTTGTCATCCTTGACAAGTATGTCGATGAACTTTGTCAAGTATGCAATGTCCTTAACCGACTCGTCACAGACAATGACATTATTACGTGCACACAATAACTCTCACACAAGACCTGCATGCGTTTTACCCAGCAAAAGCACACCTTCCGCCTCTCCGACGAATGAACTGCACAACGAACGCAACTTGTCGGGTTCTCGATCCCATATTGAATACGCAGCACTTTCGTCGCCGTCGATGCCACCGTGTTTTCCTTGACACTTCCCAAACTTTTCCTCCACAACATGCACTTTTGTGAGGTCATTGAGAAGTCGAGGTGCAACAGTGACTTTTTTCAGATCCCTTCTTTTAGCGTGCAGTACAATGGTCATCATGTCCCGACTCGTCATAGCGATGCTACCGTTAACGTCATTCGATGGCATGTCCATTGTCCACCCGTTTCCAGGTCCCAGGGATGAGTTCGACATCCTCCCAGCGGAACAAGTGACGCAATACATCGCTTTACACCTTCTGCGGTGCAAAGAAGAAGAGGACCCTATTTTGTCCACAACACTTTGTCATCATTGTGTGCAGCGCATCAAAGTCCTGCGAGATCCAAACACTGCTGAAATTGGTGGACGAAATGTCCACAATGGCGGCCCTGCATGCCATTTTTTGCGTGGAGGCAACGATGTCGTCGGGCGCTGCCAATACTTCCTTCGTCCGCATGCATGCATGAAGCAATGTCGTCTGCTTGCTGAGTTTGTCCCAGACAAGATGACGCGCACTGGAGACGATTCGTTTCACCTCTGTTCGAAGCAAATCGAGCTTATCGATGACGGTGTGTATGAATACCTTGAAGTGGAACGGAGCCTCCTTGTACATTACTAATGTAGGTCCCAAGCCCGCACCTTGCCTTGCCTCCTCTACTCCTCCAAGTCGTCACGGGACCGTCTTCATTTTGTTGCTATGCAGCTTCTCCCTTTCCTTCTCCCATTCAGCTGCGCATAGCCCGTTCGGTGCATACCTCTCTTCGAGGTCCTTGTACGACATGAAGAAGTCGTCGTTCCATTCTTCATTCACCCTTCCCTCTGCGCAGAACACAACGTAGTTGAACCTGCGAACCATGTATCTCTCTTTGCGCATGATGTCGAGAAGGCACTCAGTGTTCACTCTTGGAGGAGTGACTTTGACGTTCGTTGCCACCACCTTCCCCTTCATGAGCAAGAGTGGCGCGACTTCTCTCTCGCGGCATGTCGTGTCCCCGAAGTTCTTGAAGTACAAAGGACACAGATTCTTCCAGGACACAGTGGAGCCTTTAGGACCATCTCTCGCGTATATGCAATGGTACAATGTCCTTTGTCCCTTGCTTTCGTCGGTGTACGGGTCTGGCAGGCGCCCCTCCATCCTTCCCGGCATATGGAGCGGGATTTTGTCATCGCCAATTGGCAGCTTACCTTCCTCGAACATTGTGAAGAACCTCTCCACCAGTGTCCACACTGCGTCGGTGGACGTGGTGAGGTTCATGTACCCCCGGAGTTTATTACCCCAATCCTTACTGTATTCGTTGTCGAGCGCCCGCTTCACAAACGCCTTGTCGCACGCCTTTCCCATGGAGGCCCTCAAGAAGTTTTGTCACTTTCATTGTGCGCAACGACGATTACATCCTTATCGCTGACCTTAGCTTTGAGGGCCTCGATTCTATTGTTATCGATCCCCCATTGTCTCATATCATGCACAACGTCTTGGAAGGACAACATCATGGCACGATTCTCACCCGTGTTGTCGAAGGCGGAGACATTGAAGTACCCTCGCGTCTGGTCATCTTCGAAATAGACGACTCACACTTTGAAGTACTCGTGGAGGCCATTGACTTTGACGGCGGCAGAGCCCTTTGCCACCAACCGTTTCATGGCCTCGGCGGTATGCTGACCACAGACAGCGTACCAATTGAACTTTGCAGAGTCCCTTTGGCAAAACTCGTCTGGCATGATTCGCCTTCCCTGTCCATCGACAATGTCGTTCGGGTCAACCAATGCAAGAATGAGCTCAAACCTATCCCACGGCCCCTGGTCGGCAGTGATGGAGCTTTCGATGGCATTCTCGATGCCTCTTACAACGTTCTCAGACAACGAGCGGTGGTTATAAAGAATCTTCCCACGGGGAATGCGTTTGATTCTTGTTACGTCGACGGTAAAAGCATAAACGTGTTGCCTCGCGAAGCAGTGTTCGTCGTACTCGAGAAAGAAACAGCGCGTCTTGTCGAGGGGCGTGGCGTGCTGAACCGGGTCGTCAACACCTTCGGGCATGCGAGGCCCCACCCCCTCGTCCTCATTTCCCGAGTCCCGCAGTTCGTGTGGCCTAACCTTGTGCGAGCCTTTCCTACGGCCGCCACGATCGTCGCCACGACTGCCAGTTCTCCCCCCCCCGCCTGTTTTACGAGGAGTCCGCGTTTCCTGGGATGTTGTCAGCGCTCTGCGAGCCTCATTGACGGCGCCAGTCCTCGCTTGTTTCATTTGACTCTCAGGAGAGATCGACGCTTCTGCCCTCTTTCTCTTTCCCCGTGAGCCATGTTTGTCTCTCTCATCCTTCGCCTGGATATGCGACTGCGACATTCCATGGGCGGTTGCAGGCTGGCCACCAGCGTCGTCCGCATCACCGACACCGTAGGCGTCATCCCCAAAGTGCGCCTGTGTTTCGTTGACGTCGCGCCGACGCTCGCATTGGGAGAAGTGATTGTCTTCGACTTCCTCACCACCAACGTATCTGTCGTTGTCCACGTCATTGTCTTCACCATCCACATCTCCTTCATTGCCCTCATTGTCCTCCTCACCACCATCCTCCCCCTCTTGGCCCTCGCATTCCTTGTTGAAGGCACCTACACCTCCTTGGGAACGATGTTGGGGACTAGCTCGGTGGCGCACAGCTCCGTCGTCGTAGTCGGGGCCTCGCTGGACTGCTCGGGCTTATCCTGACCTTGCCGACGTGAGGGCGAGACCGGAGCGGGAAGAGCCTGGGCAAACACATTCAACGAAGAGGGGCGAGTCGACAATTGCTTCCTACCGTCGCTGTTATAGATAGACGTAACGAAGAACGTCCTAAACTTCCTACCGTCGTAGTTAGCCCTTCCCGCTTCAGATTGCTCAACCCCTCCGCAACAGTACCAACTCCCGTCGTTGTCATCGCTCAAGAAGACAACGGCTCCACAACCAGTCGTTTGAAGACCACCAACCCAGTCAAGACCCCAGGGTTTGTCGTTGTAGAGCTTAGACCTGCCGTATGCACTTTTGTCAGGGATGGAGGCTGAAGCAGATTTTGCTGCAGGGAGGCACGACAAAAGAAAGACAACAGGCGAACACAATTGAGTGACACAAAGACGCACTTGTTGCTTGAAGACCACAACACGGACACGGGCCCCCTCTGGCTATTCGCGGACCCCAGAACGCCGGACCCCATGCACACGGGCAAGGGGGTCCGACGTTCCCGGAATGTTGGACCCTATCTCTATCGGGCATGGGGGTCCGACGTTCCCTGAACGCTGGACCCCATTCTTAACTGGCATCGTCCATGGTGGCACGGGGGTCCGACGGAACCTTTCCCCCCTCTTTGTCGCCCGCAGCGCCATGGGTGTCTGGCGTTTCTAGAACGCTGAACCTCATCTCTAAGCGGCATGGAGGTCCGACGTTTTGGGGGTCCGGTGTTTCTAGAACGCCGAACCCCCATGCCCGCATCGCCGAGGGTATCTGGCGTTCCCAAAACGCTGGACCCCTTCGCGCGTGGTGGCACGGGGGTCTGACGGAACCTTCCCCCCCTCTCTCTCGCCCCTTAGCCCGTGGTGGCACGGGGGTCCGACGGAACCTTCCCTCCCTCTCTCTCGCCTGCGGCGCCATGGGTGTCCGGTGTTCCCGGAATGTTGGACCCCTTCGCCCGTGGCGGCACGGGGATCTGGCGGGTCGAGTTCGTCGGGCCTCCATGCCGCAGCGGGCGAGGGAGAGTGGGGGGAAAGGTTCCGCCGGACCCTCTCGCGTATTGCATGAGGGTTCGGCGTTCCGAATCCGCTCCCCCCCGGTCCCTATGAGTCCATGTTGCGGAGGGGGTCCGGCGGATCCGAAACGCCGGACCCCCATGGCGGACCCCTCCTGCATCATGGACGGGAAGGAACCCGGCGAATCCAGAACGCCATGACCTTTTTCGTTCAGTGTTGGGCGTTCGGCGTTCCGGATCCGCTGGACCCCTCCCGCATCATGGACGGGGGGATCCGGCGGATCCGGAACGCCGGACCCCCGTCATGGACGGAGGGGGAGGGGATCCGGCGGATCGGAAACGTCGGACCCTCGTGCCCGCTGCCGTACAGGGGTCTGGCATTCTCGAAACGTCATACCCCCCATGCCAGCTACCGCACGGAGGTTCGGACCCTATGCAACAACGGGCACGGGGGTCTGGCGTACCCTGCACGGGAGTCCGGGATGACACTTTCGTTCAAAAATAAATAAAATAAGGGAGAGGGAGATCAAACCCCTTCCTGCGATATCGCAATGATAACATTTCCTACGTGTCATTTCTCGAAATGGCCTTTTCGTTCAGAACCAAAAAAAATGGAGAGGGAGATCAACCTCCTTCCTGCGAGATCGCAATAATAACATTTCCTACGCGGCATTCTCGACATGGCCTTTTCGTTCAGAAACAAAAACGAAAAGGAGAGGGAGATCAACTTTTTCCGTTCGAGATCGCAGTGATGACATTTCCTACGTGGCATTTCTCTCCATGACCTGTTCGTTCAGAAATTAAAAAAAAATAAAAAGAGGGAGATCAACCCCCTCCCTTCGAGATCACAATGATGACATTTCTTACATGACATTTCTCGACATGACATTTTCGTTCAGAAATTAAAAAAAAAGGGAGAGGGAGATTAACCCCCTCCCTTCGAGATCGCAATGATGACATTTCCTACGTGGCATTCCCAAACTAGCATTTCTCAACATGACATTTCTCGACATGGCATTTTTCGTTCAGAAATCGAAAAAAAAAAAAGGAGAGGGAGATCAACCCCCTCCTTTCGAGATCACAATGATGACATTTCCTACATGATATTTCTCACCATGGCCGTTTCGTTTTAAAAAAAATAAAAAAATAAGGGAGAGGTAGGTCAACCCCCTTCCTTCGAGATCGCAATGATGACATTTCCTACGCGGCATTCCCGAATTGACATTTCTCGGCATGGCATTTTTCGTTCCTAAATCGGAAAAAAAAGGGAAAGGGAGATCAACCCCCTTCCTTCGAGATCGCAATGATAACATTTCCTACGTGGCATTTCTCGCTATAACCTTTTCGTTCAGAAATCAAAATAAAAAAAGGGAGAGGGAGATCAACCCTCTTCCTTCGAGATCGCAATGATGACGTTTCCTACATGGCATTCCCGAACGGGTATTTCTCAGCATGACATTTTTCATTCAGAAATTAAAAAAAAAAGGAGAGGGAGATCAACCCCCTCCCGTCGTGATCGCAATGATGACATTTCCTACGTGGCATTCCCGAACTGACATTTCTCGACATGACATTTTTCGTTCAGAAATTGAAAAAAAAAGGGAGAGGGACATCAACGCCTTCCCATCGAGATCGCAATGATGACATTTCTTACATGGCATTCCCGAACTAGCATTTCTCGACATAACATTTCTCGTTCAAAAATCGGAAAAAAAAAATCTCCCTCTCTTCGAGATCGCAGTGATGAAATTTCCTACATGGCATTTCTCGTCATGGCCTTTTCGTTCAGAAATCAAAAAAAGAAAACGGAGAGGAAGATCAACCTCCTCCCTTCTAGATTGCAATGATGACATTTCCTACGTGGCATTCCCGAACTGACATTTCTCGGCATGACATTTTTCATTCAGAAATTGAAAAAAAGGGACAGAGAAATCAACCCCCTCCCGTCGTGATCGCAATGATGACATTTCCTACGTGGCATTCTCGAACTAACATTTCTCAACATGACATTTTTCGTTCAGAAATCGAAAAAGAAAAAGGGAGACGGAGATCAACCCCCTCCTTTCGAGATCGCAATGATGACATTTCGTACATGGCATTCCCGAACTGACATTTCTCGACATGGGATTTCTCGTTTATAAATCGAAAAATAAAAAAGGGAGAGGGAGATCAACCCCCCCCCCCCCTTCAAGATCGCAATGATGACGTTTTCTACATGGCATTTCTCGCCATAGCCTTTTTGTTTAGAAAAAAAAAAAAAAAAAAAAAAAAGGTATATCAACCCCCTCCCTTCTAGATCGCAATGATGATATTTCCTACAAGGCATTCCCGAACAAACATTTCTCGACATGGCATTTCTCGTTCAGAAATCGAAAAAAAAAAAAGGGAGAGGGAGATCAACCCCAATCCTTCGAGATCGCAATGATGAAATTTCCTACATGACATTTCTCGCCTTGGTCTTATCGTTCATAAAAAAAAAAAAAAAAAAAAAATAGGTAGTTCAACCCTCTCCCTTCTATCTCGCAATGATGACATTTCCTACGTGGCATTCCCAAACTTGCATTTCTCGGTATGACATTTTTCATTCAGGAATTAAAAAAAAAAAGGAGAGGGAGATCAACCCCCTCCCGTCGTGATTGCAATGATGACATTTCCTATGTGACATTCCTGAACTAGCATTTCTCAACATGACATTTTTCGTTCAAAAATCGAAAAAAAAAAGGCGAGGGAGATCAACCCTCTCCCTTCGACATCCCACTGATGACATTTCCTACGTGGCATTCCCGAACTGACATTTCTCGACATGGCATTTCTCGTTCAGAAATCGAAAAAAAAGAAGGGAGAGGGAGATCAACCCCCTTTCTTCGAGATCGCAATGATGACATTTCCTACATGATATTTCTCGCCATTGCCTTTTCGTTAAGAAAAAAAAAAAAAAAAAGGAAAGGTAGATCAACCCTCTCCCTTCGAGCAGTGAATCCCTCCCGGCGGCGGACAGGCGCGGCCAAGTCCGCGGCCGCGGCCAGGCCGCGAAGCCCGCGGACGTGTCCGCGCGGATGCGCGCATTCGCAGACACGTGCCGGCCACAGGGGAGGGGGTTTGAAGATTCTGACGGTGCCACGTGGCGGCGCATCCCCTGCCCCTCCCCCCCCCCGTAAAAAAAAAAACGAAAAAGATTAACTTTTGGTGGGAGGGGAATGGGCGAAATGCAACGAAAATGGAAGAAAAAAAAAACGCGTTGTTTTTTTTTTTTTTTTTTCTCGTTGATTGATTGATTGATTGATTGATTGATTGATTGACTGATTGATTGGTGTGGGCGGGGTCGCCCCCTGCCCCACCTTTGATTGATTGATTGATTGATTTTTTTATTCGATTTTTATTTGTTTATTTTTTGTTGATTGATTGATTGATTGATTGATTGATTGATTAATTGATTTTTTTATTTCTTTATTCGATCTTTTTTTTTTTTTTTTTTTTTTTT